GACTATCACATGGTATATTTACATTTCAGGTACATATGTAGCTAGCGACTATCACATGGTATATTTATGCCATTCTCACTCATGTGCACCAATTTTCATAGGAATCTTGATATTTTACCAAACACTGTTTACACAGAGTACTGCATTTGTAAAAAAATGATTTACCTCAAACTTGTGAACTGGTGTTTACATACATTTGATGTCGGTACTCAAAACACATCAGTCCGTATCCCATGTGCTTCACATATGACCTACACATATGACCTTAACATAGGACTTTCCTGAAATCGTCTGATCTCATGTCAGTGTTTTTCTGTGAGTCCATTTATGTGTTTGTTATATTGGAAGTTTTATTTCTGAAGTAGTATGTGTGATATTGGTTGTTGACATATGTCGNTAATTTACCCGGGGTTACTATTATTTACCCAGGGTTACTATAATTTACCCGGGGTTACTATTATTTACCCGGGGTTACTATAATTTACACCACGGCATTGAAATGACCGATACACAATATGGAAATGACGACACAAAAATATGACAAAAAAAGCATGTGTATTACGACGGGTGAGAAGTCCTTAAAGATGTTTATTTTTTTTCAATTTGTTTTGTAGGAGGAGTGGGCAGTTGTTTGTTGTCCAGGGTCTGTCTGCACACTATGTAAATCCAGCCGTGTTAACACGTCCCTTTTGTCCATGGATCCTATGATGGCTTTCAGCACCATATTCAAGAAGGCCTCAAACCTTCTGGGGATAGGTTCTGACTCCCCAAAACACCCGCCCCTAGACGGGGAAATTATCTACTGCAAGAACAATGTGTGTGTCCATCCCCCGGCTCCCATGACGATGGATACAGAGCACCATCCTGGCTACCTTACACTGAGGTCACAACACGAGGAGGTAATCAACAGGTCACAACTGGTACAGGGTTAATGTCACCGGTACAGGGTTAATGTCACAGGTACAGGGTAAATGCAACCGATACAGGGTTAATGTCACAAGTACAGGGTTGATGTCACAGATACAGGGTTAATGTCACCGGTACAGGGTTAATGTCGCAGGTACAGGGTTAATGTCATCAGTTCAGGGTAAATGCCACAGATGCAGGGTTAATGTCACAAATACAGGGTTAATGTCACAAATACAAGGTTAATGTCACAGATACAGGGTTAGTGTCACAAATACAGGGTTAATGTCACTAATACAGGGTTAATGTCACAGGTACAGGATTAATGTCATCAGTACAGGGTTGATGTCACAGATACAGGGTTAATGTCACCGGTACAGGGTAAATGCAACCGATACAGGGTTAATGTCACAAGTACAGGGTTGATGTCACAGATACAGGGTTAATGTCACAGGTACAGGGTTAATGTCACCGGTACAGGGTAAATGTCACAAATACAGGGTTACTGTCACAAATACAGGGTTAATGTCACAAATACAAGGTTAATGTCACAGATACAGGGTTAATGTCACAAATACAGGGTTAATGTCACAGGTACAGGGTTAATGTCACCGGTACAGGGTTAATGTCACAAGTACAGGGTTGATGTCACAGATACAGGGGTAATGTCACCGGTACAGGATTAATGTAATCAGTACAGGGTAAATGCAACAGATACAGGGTTAATGTCACAAGTACAGGGTTAATGTCACAAAAACAGGATTAATGTCACAAATACCGGGTTAATGTCACCGGTACCAGGTTAATGGCACAAATACAGGGTTAATGTCTCAAAAACAGGGTTAATGTCACAAATAAAGGGTTAATGTCACAGATACAGGATTAATGTCACCGGTACAGGGTTAATGTCACAAGTACAGGGTTAATGTCACAAAAACAGGATGAATGTCACAAATACCGGGTTAATGTCACCGGTACCGGGTAAATGGCACAAATACAGGGTTAATGTCTCAAAAACAGGGTTAATGTCACAAATAAAGGGTTAATGTCACAGATACAGGATTAATGTCACCGGTACAGGGTTAATGTCATCAGTACAGGGTAAATGAAACCGATACAGGGTTAATGTCACCTATACAGGGTTAATGTCACTGGTACAGGGTTAATGTCATCAGTACAGGGTAAATGTCACCGGACAGGGTTAATGTCACAAATACAGGGATAATGTCACCGGTACAGGGTTAATGTAACAGGTACAGGGTTAATGTCATCAGTACAAGGTAAATGTCATCAGTACAGGGTAAATGTCACCGGACAGGGTTAATGTCACAAATACAGGGATAATGTCACCGGTACAGGGTTAATGTAACAGGTACAGGGTTAATGTCATCAGTACAAGGTAAATGTCATCAGTACAGGGTAAATGTCACCGGACAGGGTTAATGTCACAAATACAGGGTTAATGTCACAGGTACAGGGTTAATGTCATCAGTACAAGGTAAATGTCATCAGTACATGGTTAATGTCATCAGTACAGGGTAAATGTCACCGGACAGGGTTAATGTCACAAATACAGGGATAATGTCACCGGTACAGGGTTAATGTAACAGGTACAGGGTTAATGTCATCAGTACAAGGTAAATGTCATCAGTACATGGTTAATGTCATCAGTACAGGGTAAATGTCACCGGACAGGGTTAATGTCACAAATACAGGGATAATGTCACCGGTACAGGGTTAATGTAACAGGTACAGGGTTAATGTCATCAGTACAAGGTAAATGTCATCAGTACATGGTTAATGTCATCAGTACAGGGTAAATGTCACCGGTACAGGATAAATGTCATCAGTACAGGGTAAATGTCACAGGTACAGGTTTAATGTCACCGGTACAGGGGTAGTGTCACAAATACAGGGTTAATGTCACAAATACAGGGTTAATGTCACAGGTACAGGGTTAATGTCACAAATACAGGGTTAATGTCATCAGTACAGGCTTAATGTCACAAATACAGGGTTAATGTCACTAATACAGGGTTAATGTCACCGGTACAGGGTTAATGTCACAGGTACAGGGTTAATGTCACAAATACAGGGTAAATGTCACAAATACAGGGTTAATGTCCCTGGTACAGGGTTAATGTCACTT